TCACGTGCTTACGCTCTTAGTCATATATCGTCACAAACAGAACTGCCCAGTAAACCGTAGGCAGAGAGAGAGAAGAGGACAACAAACGAGGGGTTGTGACAAACTGTTTCGTCGGAGTTTTACCGACTCATCAGGAGGCTGTATATATATATATTGACGATATATATATATCCCGACGAAACAGTTTGTCACAGCCCCTCGTTTGTTGTCCTCTTCTCTCCCTCTGCCTACGGTTTTACCGGGCAGTTCTGTTTGTGACGATATATATATATATGTATTGTCACAAGATATATATATCGTCACAAAGATATCAGAGCGCAAAAGCGAAAATAAAAAGAAAAAATCAATTCATTTTTTATCTTCTTACTTACAACTCCCCCTGTCCAAAACCTCTGGCGTACAAGGCCGCCCATGCGGATGTAGGTTGAGCGGCGGTTGCCCGCACCCCCGTGTGTCATATCGACCCACTTGCACACAGCCAAAGGGCAAAGAGGCAAAGAAAAGAGGAAGGGAACGGCCAAATAGAACAAAACAGGGGGAAACAAACACAAACAGATCCTAGATGACAAGTCCCACACGCAAGCACCCCCCCCCCTCCGTCACAACAGGGCACACAACGGGACAAGACCAACCAGGATATCAAAACACCCTTGCCTGCAAACAGGCAATCCCAGATAACGAATCAATCATGCTCGCCAGCGATCTGTATACATATATTATTTATATAGGGTTCTGCCTCCTGATAAGTCAGTCGGTGATACTCACAGCCCCTCGTTTGTTGTCCTCTTCTCCCTCCCTCTCTGCCTACGGTTTACCGGTCAGCTTTATATATATATATATATATATATATATATATATATATATATATATATATATATATATATTGTCACATTGTGAATCAGTGCGCAAAAAAGGGAAAAGAAAAAAGGAAAAGGAAACAAGGGGAAGGGGAAGGAGGTGGGAACAGCCAAATACAACAAAACAAAACAGGGGCCAACAAGCAATAATACCAAAAACGGATCCTAGATGACAAGTCCCACATGCAAGCACCGCCCCCCTCCTTCACAGGCCAAACGACAGGACAAGACCACCCAGGACAAAACTCTCGTCTGCAAAAAAAGAAAAATCCCAGATTACGTTCTCTATATACAGCATGAGTTTCATCAACCGCACATATCCATGCACATATCCACAAACACATCCAGATTCCGGCGTTGAGGAAACTCAACGCCGCTAGTGGGACTTGGCCCCCCGCTATAGATTAATAATCTATCTACTACAACAATCTACATTTAATATTTCAATTTTTTTTTCTTCCTTGCCGCTTGTGTCTGCTCTCCAGGGGCGAGGTCCCACTTGCAAAGAGGATTGGATTAACCGTCTGAATATGGACGTGTTTTACGAAGAGATGCAGAACAGCAGATCTATCCTCTGATTCTGCACTTTTCCGCAAAAGCGTCCAGATTCAGATCTCTAATCCTATTCTGTTTGCTAGTGGGACAGCCGTTGGCATGGGCTCGGGTCAAACAGTTAATTTTAGACTACTCGATCCTGGGCTTGGTTCCCAGCAGGTTCCCAGCAGGTGAGGCTCCGACAGCACAGCGGCGCGCACTACAACAGTCTCAGGCTCTTATCCCTGTCTGAGGGAGGTACACGTCCACTTAAGGAAAAAGAAAAGTAAAAGGGACAAAGGGAAAAAAAAAAAAAAAAAGTGAGCGGGCGAGCACAT